AGATGGGCCTGGACATGTGATGAGTTGAGCAGGGGAACCTTCCGTGCAATGCATGATTTGAAACCATGACGGCGTAGTGTTCTACTGACAGTGACCTTTGAAACTGTGGTCCCAGCTCTCTTCATGTCATTGACCAGCTCCTCCCTTGTAGTTTTGGGCTGATTCCTCACCTTTCTTATCATCAGTGATACCCCACGAGGTGAGATCTTGCATGGAGCCCCAGTCCGAGGGAGACAGACAGTCATCTTTAGCCTCTTCCATTTTCTAACAATTGCTCCAACAGTTGATCTATTTTCACCATGCTGCTTGGCAACTGCCCCGTAGCCCTTCCAGCCTTGTGGAGGTCTACAATTTGGTCTCTGGTGTCTTTTGACAGCTCTTTGGTCTTGCCTCTGAGTAGTTGGTGTCTGACTGACTGTGGGGTGGACAGGTGTCTTTAAAGAGCTCAGACAGGTGCAACTAAGTTAGATTAATGAGTGGAGTAGAGGTGGACTTTTTAAAGGCACAGTAACAGGTCTTTGAGAGCCAGAATTCTTGCTGTTTCTTAGGTGTTCAAATACTTCTGTTCAGCAGTGCAAGACAAATAAATTCTTTAAAAATCATACAATGTGATTTCCTGAATTTTTTTTTTAATTCTGCCTCTCAGAGTGGGAATGCACCTACAATGTGAATTTCAGACCCCTCCATGATTTGGGAGAACTTGCAAAATCGCAGGATGTTCAAATACTTCTGTTCCTCACTGTATATTTAAAAAAAAAAAAAATTCCAGTATATATACCACCATTAGTAGATGCTACAACTTTCACGTAAACCAATTAATTTACATGTAATGGGATTTTTTTTTTTTAGCAAAGACATGTAGCAGAATACATTTTTGTCTAAACTTTTGTTAATATCACAAAAAATAAAAAAAACGCAGAGGTGATCAAATACCACTGAATGAAAGCTCTATTTGTGGGAAAAAAAGGACATAAATTTAATTTATGTACATCGCTGCATGACCCCGCAATTGTCAGTTAAAATAACGCAGCGCTGTATCACAAAAAATGGCCTGGTCAGGAAGGGGGGTAAAATCCTCTGGAGGGCAAGTGGTTAACAATGGTTGACATATATGTCTCGCTGGGAAATTGAATTTACTCCTATGTTAATGTTTTTTACGTCTTATTATTTTATTTGTATCTGCTAGGTGGGAATGAATTCATCTATTTTTCATTTTTATAATTTTTTTTTCTTTTATTCATTTTTTATCAAATAATTTTTTATTTTTGTCATTTTTTCTCTGTCTCTGTCAATAGAGGGCGATGGTGTTGCGCTTTGTGCCAGTAAAAGGCAGGTGCTCCTCTTCTTTATTTTAAAGGCAAATTTATCTTTATTAAGTTTTTTACAACCGATTATACAGAAAGAAAAAAAAAAAAAAAAAAAAAAGGACCAGCGATTACATACACATATGGACAATCATCAGGCTCAAACAAGAGATGAGCCAAAGTGATAACTGAAGTCAGCGAATATCACTAGCCAAATTAGGAAAACCTTGATAAATAACATGTATACAACAGAGACATATATCTGAAAGAACTGTCCCATTAAAAGGCATGAAGAGCATCAATATACGTCCGAGTAGAGTTCACCATATAAAACAAAGCAAAGAAAAAATATAAGGGGAGAGAGATAGTAAGAAGTGAGCACAGAAAGAGAGGGAAGATAGAAGAGAGAGTTGGGAGCCGGGACAGACAAGGGGCGGAACCAGAGTGGCCCCACTCCAAAAAGGACCCAGAGTGGGCATCCCAAGCATACAAAAGCAAGTACAATGATGCGATACAGGGAACCATGGGTCCACCTGACCGAACGGACGGAGTCTAAGAAGGCACAGTAGGAGAACACAACTCCCGAATGGTCGAGGAGGAGGAAAAATGGAGCCAGACCAACCATAACAACTTATGTTTTTCATAGGTATCATTGGTAAAAGCCAACATCTCTTCCATTCGCATGATATCATTAATCGCAGAAACTAACAATGGTGGGGGGCGTTTTCCAGAAAAGCGGTATCAATTGGTGAGCCGCAGACAGGAAGAAACGTAATAAACATCTCTTCTGTGCCGCCAATGAGCCTGGTAACATGGAGAGAAGGGCAATCTCCGATGAAGTCAAGGACGCACCATAGATTTTATTATAGACTTCAAAAACTTGGCACCAAAAGGGTCCAATTTTATTGCAATCCCAACAAATATGGAACTGAGTACCCACAGTTGTATTACAACGCCAACAAAGCTTGGATATGGAAGGGAACATCTTGTGAAGGGAAAAAGGATCCCTATACCATCTGGAGAGGAGCATCAAATTATTTTCTTGAGAGTAGCAAGATAGAGGATTTATGAGTGAAGTGAAACGACGTAAACCATTCTTCATCCAATATATCTTTGCCAATATCCAGTGACCATGCCACGGTGAAGGGCAGAAGTTCAGTATGGGTTGTGGCATGTAATACCCTATAAAAAGGGAAGCCAAGACAGAGGTTCAGAAAGGGAACATTACTGGTCAAACTCAGTAAGCGGGCAATGAATTTGAGAAGTGGAATGTAAATGTTTACAAAATGAGGATAAATGTAAAGCAGTCAGCCAATCCCTGGGGCCACCCAAGAGGAGTGGGAGACCTGTCTTAGGGTGGATAAAGTCCCGAGCTACCGGCCAAGAGGTACGGGCAAAGGGACCCAGCACAGAGGGTCCATTGGGGGAAAGAGGTATTATCAAATAGGGAGGATAAAGGGGAATGGTCGGAGGATAGAAGGATAAGGAGACTGCGTTTATACCACAAGCGCAAAGCCGCCACTGTCAAGGGAGACAGGCCAGGTAGACACTGAAGGACACGGCCGAAACCCCATAGGAGAGCCCGTAGGTCAATCTGAGTTAGGTTCTGTTCGATCATACAGAGGGCTTTAAGCACGGGTCTGGGGAACCAGTCAAGTATACGTGCCAACAAGGCAACTCAAAATAGGTTAAACCCACTCCACCCCTAAGGTTTGTATAAGTGAGCAGCTTTTATTTTAATCTCGATAAACCTTGATGCCAGATAAACCTAACTGATAGAGAACGTAAAGAGAGAAAGAAATTCTTGGGTACAGAAACCGGGACTGTATGGAAATCGTATAGCAATTTCCGAAGAGTATCAATCTTAAGGGTATTAATGCGTCCAAACCAGGGTAGAGAGGAGGCTCCCCATGATGCCAAGTCTTTGCGGAGATGCGTAAGTATGGGCAAATGAATAAGCGAGTAAAGTGCAGCAGGATCAGAAGAAATCAGAACCCGAGATACGAGATAGTCTTTGGACGCTACTGAAAAGAAACGTTGGAGCGAAGGTGTGACAACACGCAAGCAGGTAGAGAAATATTTAATGCCTCCGTTTTCAAGATGTTAAGTTTGAAGTTACAGAACAAACCGAATCTGTGGAACTCACAAAGCAGGCTACGGAGAGAAATGAGTGACTGTTGCATATAAATTGGGAGATTGTCTGCATAAAGATAAAGTTTATGATGTGAGGAGGGGGTATGAATGCCTAGAATAGAATCGTTAGCCTGTATAGCCCACTAATGATGTTCCATGACCAAAACAAAAAGTAGAGGAGACAGAGGGCATCCCTGTCTGGTACCATTCGAGATAGAAAAGGACGAAAAGGCCATACCATTCACATTATGTGGAGCATATGATTCTCTTGTTTTGGGTACTTACCTGCATGCACTGATTCTTTCTGGTGAATTGTATCAAGGAGTCATCTGGAGTAAAGAGTGGCCTTTCAGGAATTCACGTTCCAGGGCAATAGTGGAGATGACCAATGTGGAAACTCTTTCCTTAATGTGGGTTAGACTCTTGAGAGTCAATAATATCTGGTAAGCAAATTTGGTTCTCTTGGTGGTGGGTGGATTAAGGTCGGAGGAAGCCTTTCTCTGGAAGTCGATTGGATTCTTTTTCCCCAAAAGACTTTGTACACACTGATTTTGAATAATATTTCACAAGAGACTTTATATATTGATACGATTCACTACATTACTTTACAAGAGACTTTATAATTTGAAATTATTTAGGATACAGAGCTCTATAATATTGGGTTATTGATTATGTATGTTGTATGCTGTGATAGAAATCTTATAGCACGCCAGCTGCTCTAATCACTTTTTTTTTAGTTTTATATTTGTTTCCCCGAAGCACAGAAATGTTCCTGTTTTTTAAATGGTTTTTATGTTAGCTGTGGAAAAACTAATTCTTGAAGTTAAATAAAAGATGGCTGAGGTCTGTTTGAAATTGTAAGTTGCTATGTGGACATTACCTTTGCACAAAACCCATATATGAGACTTTCTACACTGAAAGAATGCAAAAGCAGAGCTACTGACATCACACTTTATATGCACACGCACATACTCTTCCTGTATACTTGCTATAATTCATTGAAGCACTGACCATGCAAAATGTACACTGACAGCTTGTAGTCTAAGGACAGAACTATGAGCAAAAAAAAGTTAAGCAACTGTACATAAGTTTTCAAAATTCTTAACCAGTCTAGTGCACTCTTTTTTTATTTTAACTTAAAATGTATTTTTTAACCCAGGTCTATACTTCAACTACAAGCAAGCAGCCTACTCATGAACTATACTGAATTTAGGAAATAAGCTAAAATGTGTTCAATATAGGGGCACTTGCTTCTATGTTTCAATGTGGCAGGAGGGCTGTTTTAGGTATGTTTGGATGTACAAGACCTTTGCTTTAAACCGAAAAGACTGGGAATCTAGCGCCAATTTCTTTCCTACTATTGTTTGACATATCAGCTCACATCTGCACTCAGCAACACAATCAACTTATTCTCTGGTTTTAACCTCCAACCAAAGTGTCCTTACTCTTAGCTGCTCTAAAGATTTAAAAGGACGAACAAAGCCAGTGGCTGTATTAAAACGATAATTCAGTAAAAATATCCTGGCATATGAACATACTGGGGAATGAAAATCTTGTTCTTACATCTCATCTGTCTTTTCCATATCCCAGGGACGGCGCCATTCTCCATTTGAATTCCTATGCCGTGCCACGCGGTCAAGATCAATTTGTTCACGCTCTTTCTTCCATTTCAGGTATTCAAAGTGATCCTGTACAAGTAAAAAAAAAAGGAAAGGGGGAAAGGGCTGCTCATCTGATTTTTCAACTTTGCGAGGCAAAAAAAAAAAAAAAAAATATATATATATATATATATATAATATTTATTACAGACACTTACACATTGAAGCAAACTACCCATTCAATAAACACTTTTGGGAAGTATATATTGCTAAGGATCAATTATACAGGTGTGCCACATGGGAATACAATGGGGGAATTTATTACAATATGGGAAGCCAAAATCTGGAGCAGCTAAAACAAACAATTGATCATCCTCTACATTTCATTTTCAAAGTTTACCAAACAAGCTGAAGACAGAAGGTGATTGGTTGCCATGCACAGCTGCTCCAAGTTCAATCTGTTCGAGTTTTGATAAATCACCCCCCACCCCCCTTTCCAAATAATGCTACACATCACTCTCCCTTTACTGAAACCTATCCTAGCCAAAATGTAAATAAAAAATATTAAACTTTTTCTGACGGGTCGATGTATATATTTTGTACCACACAGGATTCATGCAACCTTAACCCAGGATCCATATATTTATCCAATAGGAAAAATGTGACTCTTGGCTGAAAGTGTGTACATTTTTTTTGTGCAAACATTTATAAATAGCCCTCTTAAACTGTATGTCAAGCCAAAATCTAGTACTTGCATACAGGGACATATGCACTGCCCCAAATTCAGGTTCCTGTATACAAGAAAGCAGAGAGACCACTGCAGTTGAAGCCGTACAAGGATTTGGATTCAGATCAGGAGTGCCGAATCAGCTCACAACTGACAAGATGAAAGAGAAATCTGGACAGTTCACATTCTGCAAGTAACCCTCAAACGTGCATATATCTGCATACAGCCGCTGCATATTTCATCGTCAATGATTTTGACAGGCTGTGGCAGTGGGTTGTGCGCAACACCTGTGACTCCAAATGTATGCCCTATAGCTCTCTTGCTGATGTGCGCATGAAGTCCAAATAGCTTTTTCTTCCGATAACTTCCTGAAATATTTTTTTCAACATACAATATGTTAAAGCTTTTGGCTACACAGTACAACCTAGCCTGCAGGTCTAGACTGTTGGTGTCAACATCATCTTGACAGCTAATCTGTCTAGAACATTAATTTCTGTTTCAGATACATGGAAAACTCTTCTACCTGTTCATTAAAAATAACCCCAGTGGCCTAAAAACTGCATTAAATGCAGTGCTAAAGTGTAGACATTTTACGATGCTTGTAAGTACCTTCACTAAAGTAATGATTTAATAAAGAAAAAGATTACAAAAAGTAGTTTTAAGCAGGTTTATGCAGATTAGAAGGTCATTTGTAAGTCACATACAGATATATACCGTAAGTGAATTATCTCAAAACACCACAAACTGATCTCAAATACAAGTGGAATGCACCAAAGAGAAAGCTGCAGCTGTCCAACACAGGCCTTAGATAAATTAACTAGTTCGGCATTAGTGCATTTTTTTTTTTCATACATGGAAAAATCTTTAAAGACAAAAAAAAAAAACTGGAAATAAAATGTACCCCAGGTAGCACTTCACTTCCTAAAATAGAACTTATCACACAAATTTATCACCCAGTGATTGAGGTGAATAAACTGTCTACTACTGTGAAACCTCATCACGTGCACTAATGGAACACTCTTCATATGTTCCAATCTTGAGCATCAAATCTACCACTGTGCATGACATGATATCCACTCCCCACAAGACACCACAGTCGCCAATTTGATTTACCTCTCATTTTCAGAGCAGTTTCTCCTTCTGAGCATCACCAACAAACTCCACAATACCTTCCATAAGTATACTTTTGTTGCTGCGCAGAAGTACCTGTTTGTGGCAATATTTCCAGACTGGCGTTTTACACCAAATTTACAGGTGGGTTTGCATAGTGCTGGCCCAGGTGCGTTTAATTGTGGTTTTTACATGGTTTTATTAAAAATAGTACTTTCCTCTTGGTTTCTATAGTGGCATGGTGGAGGGGAGGAGTTGCCATAAGTGACATATCGGCATGGATGTCACTCCACTTCCTCAAACTCAATCTTTCCAAAACTGAGCTCTTAGTATTCCCCCCAGCACGTTCCCCCTCCCCTGACTTCTCCATCAAGATCAATAACACAACAATCAGTGCCTCCCCTCATGCCAGGATACTAGGTGTCATCCTAGACTCCCATTTGTCCTTTCAGCCCCAAATCCAATCGCTGTCCAAATCTTGTAGACTTCACCTCCGTAACATCTCCAAGATACGCCCGTTCCTAACCTCGGAAACCACTAAGCAAATTATTCACTCCCTTGTTATATCTCGCCTTGACTACTGTAACTCCCTCCTCATTGGCCTACCTCATTGCAGGCTATCCCCTCTTCAGTCTATCATGAATGCTGCTGCCAGAATCATCCACCTTACTAACCGTTCTGTATCTGCCATCCCTCTCTGCCAATCCCTCCACTGGCTTCCCATTGCCCAACGGATAAAATTCAAAACACTAACAATAACATATAAAGCCATTTATAACTCTGCCCCAAATTACATCACTGATCTTGTCTCTAAATATCACCCAAACCGTACTCTCCGCTCCTCGCAAGACCTCCTACTCTCTAGCTCCCTTGTCTCCTCCTCCCATGCTCGTCTCCAGAGCTTCCCCCATCCTCTGGAACTCTCTACCCCAATTTATCAGACTATCGACTAGTCTGCTAACTTTTAGGCGATCTCTGAAAACCTATCTGTTCAGGGAAGCCTATCCTGTCCTCAGCTAATACTGGAATCTTCTACTCTTCCAACCAGACCATCCCCCCCAGTTACTACCTTTTGTACCACTAGCCCCTCCCTCTTAGATTGTAAGCTCCAAGGAGCAGGGCCCTCCTATCCCTCTTGTATTGAACTGTATTGTTTCTGTATTGTCTCCAGTTATATTGTAAAGCGCCGAGCAAACTGTTGGCGCTATATAAATCCTAAATAATAATAATAATATTAAGGACACAGTCATCTCATCTATCCTTGTCTGGGCTGCTACATTCAAGTGCATATTGACCTCCTTTTGCTTAAGATGTCAATTGGGTCTGCTGAGTGATTCATCCACAAGAGCACACTGGGTGTATGATACTTGTGTTTGGTGAAGGATTACTAATAGAAGAGCACTGGAGATTCATTCACATTGCAACTATTTTGAGTGATTTATGGACACTATGAACTGTTGAAAGAAATGTATGATTCATATGATTCAACTGTATTATGTTATTGTGGTGTGATTTTGCTGTTACGCATATTCACAAGTTTACTAACACTGTTTATTAGGCATTTTAAACCATTGAGCTTCATGCCCCCTTTTTCATTTATTTTTTCCCTCCTATCTGGACCTAGCCTCACATGGATGAAGTAACTGTGTTACACCTCCCAGATGATGTGTTCTACCTGCCTCCTCCACCGAGAACACACGCCAATATCTTTCACACTGCTGCTGCCATGTTCTACAGAGACACAGCGACAGAAACACAGTCAGTGCATGGGTTATAGGGGCACCTTCTCTGGACATGAAAAACCCACATTCCAAATTCCTGACTTTGAGTACTGGGGATCCCCACACTAACAATGGCAGATCACAGATGCAAGGACAAAGGGTTTATTAGCATGCGTTTTGCAAATGGCCCATAGGAAACACAGAACATAGCTCAGTGTGTTAGTTGTTTCCTTGTCCTGGAGCAATGTCCTATACTGACATCACTGTCCTCATCTGACTTTTTCCCCCTCTGTCAGGCACGCACCATGCAATCTGTTAGACAAAAAGCAGGTTTCTCTGCCACCATCTCTGAATTCTTTGCTTTCCAGAGGCCATAATCAAAAAATGGAAACTTTTTTTTTTTTATTGAAGACAGTCAAAGACAGGTAAAGAAGACAAATGGCACAACAGTATGTCATGCAAAAAAAACAAAAAAAAAAAAAAAACCCCCCAAAAAAAAACAGTTGCAGCTGCAGCTCCTAGGTCTCGTCAAAGACAGTAATAATACCAGTAAAAAAGGTGATCGCTCACGGGGCACTAAACAAGGGATTCACTATAGAAAAGTAACCAGTGGTCAAGTATATATCAACCCAAAAGGGCCTCGCAGCAAACATCTGAACTAGCTTAGCGGCCCATGTCCAGGGGTATCCAGCCATGGGGCCCAAAGCTTGTTAAATTTACTCGGGCATCCTTTATTTTGGTAAATTAATTTTTTCAATCTTAAAGTGTCTTCTATGGCCTGTACCCACGCCATTATGGAAGGGGGTGTGGCCAACTTCCAGTGAGTTAGAATAACTTACGAGCCACAAAAAGAGCTCTAGAAATAGCTTCCTGGTTGAAATCACATGAAATAACATCACCCAAAATATTAAGCAAGCAGCATTTGGGATACAAAGGCACAGAAGACTGAAAAACTGATTTAATAGTGCCAGTCATCCCCTTCCAATACAGGTGAAGCTTCGGAAATCTCCAAAGTAAATGGAAATAACTATGATCATGCAGGCATTTAACGCAAGGGTCTGGCTGAATACCCATTTTATACAATCGCTGCGGTGTGCAATGTACCCGATGCAGAATGTATAATTGAGAAAATCTTTGGGCCACACTGAGCGAACAGGTGGTAACTGCTTCAAATGCTTCCTCCCATTGGTCGCCTGAGATCGGACCTAAATCCCTCTCAATGTGACAGGAACCTCATAGGATACTGCCTAAGAAATAGGCATAGATCATAGAGTATCAAATGGAACCAAATTTGCCTGAAGATGTTATGAAAGAAACTATTGAGTACATTGATTCTGTAGAGTGAAGAATTTCCCTCCACTGAAGCTTTTGAGGTACAAACTATGGTTTGAACCGCATCCAATCCGCATGACATGTGAAATAACCTTACTTCCTATGGTGCCTGTTCACATATGTCTGGTGCACTGACTGTGCGGATTCAGTGTGGATTGAAGAAAAAAAATGTCTGATTTCTGAGCAGTGCGGTCCGGATCAGGTGTCGACCACAGGCTATTGACTTCTATGGGAACTGTTTCTAAACCACACATCATTAGTTGTAAGCAGGATAAAATCCGCAGAACGACTACTGTATCAATCAGCTGTGAAACCTGAGCTTTATTCCGCATCCCACTTGTGAGTCAGTACTTAGAGATTTCCTTGAGTTTTTTTCTATTGTTTTGTGTTGATGCTCTTGAGAATGTCATTCAAAAATTTCTCATCATTGCTCTCATCTCCGTTCACATGCACAGAATGTTGTGTCTAAAAGATTGGTCTGCTGAACATGATGGTAAGAAAGGAATGGTAATCCTAACCCACATGAAAAATATCAAGTCTTCTACGCCTATGAAGTAGAACACCTGGTCTACTAAGTCCACTAAACCCTTCCAAAAGCCTTACAACATAGGAGTGCCACGACTCCGTGGACGGGGGGGGGGGGGTTGGTGGGGGCATCTGTTGACTTGCCCTGGGTCTGAATTCGAGATGCCCTAACCTTTGGGTCCAACCTGTTATTTTAAAGGGGTACAAGACAGAGTTTCCATGTATGCCTTCCTCTCGCTTTTTACCTTACAATCTGCCATCTACAGACCAAAGAAAGGCAGAATTGATAACTGTCTTGCACCAACTTCAGGCACAAGGATTGGCTGCATCAGTTCTTTTTGAAGAGCGGTTTGAAGGTTTCTATTCACATACGTGATTTGTTTTTTTCAGCACTGATCACTGTATTGATATCACTGGGGATGTCAGTGATACCAAATCAGTTCCCCCCCAGTGTCAGAATGTCTGCCGCAGTCCAGCTATAAGCTGCTGATCACCGCCATTACTTGCAAAAATTTTAAACAATTTCCAGTATCTATACCACCATTTGTAAACACTAAAACGTTCACCTAAACCAATTAGTTTACACGTATTGGGATTTCTTTTAGCAAAGACATGTAGCAGAATACATTTTGGTCTAAATTTATGACAAAATTTTATTTTTTTAATTTTTTTACTGAACATGTGTAATAGCAAAAAGTTAAGATTTGTTTTATAGAAAAAAAAAGTCTGCACTAGTGCAAGTTGCAACTAATAAAAGGAAGCTTGCAATCTAAATCGATGTATGGAAATCCACCAAAGAGCTATAAAGAGAAAATTGCAGCGCCTATTACTAAAATAATCTTACAAATAAAGAACAGCAATCGACAAATTATAATACAAGCCCCATAAATGACACCCCCCATGGTAATGCCCCGTGGCTCATGTCCTGTTTAGGCAATAGATTGCTTATTAGCCCAAAAAATGTCTAGAATTAAGCATTAGGAATCCCCAGAATTCAATAATACTCACTACAAAATTCAAGTCTGCTAACACCTGGGAAGATTTGTCCATTGCTACAATGTACAAGTGTAACTATTTATATATAAGCATAATAAATATGCATGCGTTTTGTCTGGCGTTGGATGTTAAGGCACGGTTCACACTGCCGCGACTTGGGATTCAACTTGTGAGACCCCAGGTCACATGACATGTGAAATCTCATGTTAGTCAATGAGAGCTGTCTACTGAACCACTACTGAAGCTGCTCGGACTTTAGAAAAAGTTCCCCTACTACTTCAAGGCAACTTCTATCCAACTTGTGCCCATAGACTTTAATGGAAGTTGCCTCCAAGTTGGATCATCTATGTTGATGTGAGGAAGATTACCCAGGTATTCCCTAAAAGTTGCTTCAAAGTAGTACTCAAGTTGCCTGGCAAAGTAGTACTCAAGTTGCCTGGCAAAGTAGTACTCAAGTTGCCTGGCAAAGTAGTACTCAAGTTGCCTGGCAAAGTAGTACTCAAGTTGCCTGGCAAAGTAGTACTCAAGTTGCCTGGCAAAGTAGTACTCAAGTTGCCTGGCAAAGTAGTACTCAAGTTGCCTGGCAAAGTAGTACTCAAGTTGCCTGGCAAAGTAGTACTCAAGTTGCCTGGCAAAGTAGTACTCAAGTTGCCTGGCAAAGTTGCACTGTAAGCCGCGCAACTTTCAGGTCACAGAAGTGTGAACCGAGATTTCAGGTTCACACTATCTTCTGATATCCAATTCTATGATTTGAAAATTTTACTAAAAGAAAAAGTTTTAGGGCTGATTCACAATGGTTGCGTTAAGCTTTGGAGAATACAGTATGCGTGCGAAAATTATAGCACATCGCAAATTATACATTTATTTTTTCAACTTTATTGGAATGTTACAATATTACATTCCATTAATAATTATTAATTGCAGCGCATTGCAATGCGGTGTAGTGCACTGAAACATGCTGCAGTGAAAATAAGTACTGCATGTTCTATTTTTTTTTTACTGAATGCCACCACAATGCAGTAGTGTGAAATGAACAAACAGGACATAAGTCAGTTTGCTTTATTAATGGGTTTGGACTGCACTGGGTAAAGTTGACCACCGCAGCCCAAAACACCTAGTGTGAATGGACCCTTAGTAAAAAAAAAAAAAAAAATAAGTCCCCATGAAGCTGTAATGCTTTCTATTAAAAAAAAAAAAGCTTAAAAGAAAGGATAGGATGGAGGAAGATTTCCACTGAAAGAAGAAGAAGAATCAGCACAAGAGACACATCATACCAACTGTAAGTTATGTCCTTTGTGCTTCAAATTATTTTTAAATGAAGTAATCAGATACATTTGTTTTATCTATCAGCTAAAACATAACAATAAAACCAGCATCATCATTAATCTACATTTGAGCTCACCTTATTGCTTTGTTCTTTCATGTCAATTTTCTCTATTTCTTCATGCTTTTTCCCAGCTTTCTTCTTGGCTTCCTAAAATGGGAAAGAAACACATGACCCATGTCACACTAAATGACTACAATCTGGTCCTGAATTAATTGCTTTCAAATGACACAAATTAAAGGGTGAACCATTATTTTAATAAAATATACACTGGTGTTGGGTCCCTTATCCTGAGTGGGCTTTGTCTATTTACAAAAGCAGCCTGTGATTAAGCTGCCACTATGTGTTTTGAGAATGATCAGATGTACACAGGGGGTGGACATGACACCTGTGCAGGAATACTGGGAAGGTGAAAGCCACTCATTAGAACACTAAGGAGAATAAAGCAGATGTCTAGATCAAAGGCACTGTATGCAACATCCCCAGAGGAAACTGAGCAGTTGGTGACAGCTCTGGCTAAAGTGGTTCCAGTTGAGGGACAAAGCTGGCCACTTCTCTGACACCAATACTGGGTACTCATTCTAAATGAAAAAAAAAAAAAAAGAAAAGCAGGATAAGGGCACACTATACGGAAACCAGTGATGCCAGGACACTATGGGGTTGATTTAAATGTAATATATAATAAATATTAATATTATACTAAAGGCAAATACAATGCCTTGACAAAGTATTCATACCCCTTGAAATTTACCACATTTTATCATGTTACAACCAAAAACGTAAATGTATTTTTGTGATTTTTTGTGATAGATGAACACAAAGTGGCACATAATTGTGAAGTGGAAGGAAAATGATAAATGGTTTTCAAAATTTTTTACAAACAAATATCTGAAAAGTGTGGCATGCATTTATATTCAGCATCCTTTACTCTGATACCTCTAACTAAAATCTAGTGGAACCAATTGCCTTCAGAAGTCACCTAATTAGAAAATAGAGGCCACCTGTGCGTAATTTATTCACAGTATTACAGCTGTTCTGTGAAGCCCTCAGAGGTTTTTTTTAGAGAACATTAGTGAACAAACAGCACCAAAGAAGGCCAAGGAACACATCAGACAGGTCAGGGATAAAGTTATGAAGAATTTTAAAGCAGGGTTAGGTCATTAAAAAAAATATCCCAAGCTTTGAACATCTCACGGAGCACTGTTCAATCCATCTTCTTAAAATGGAAAGTGTATGGCACAACTGCAAGCCTACCAAGACATGGCCGTCCACCTAAACTGACAAGCCGGGCAAGGAGAGCATTAATCAGAGAAGCAACCAAGAGGCCCATGGTAACTCTGGAGGAGCTGTAGAGATCCACAGCTCAGGTGGGAGAATCTGTCCACAGGATGATTAGTCGTCCACTTCACAAATCTGGCCCTTGTGGAAGAGTGGAAAAAAGAAAGCCATTGTTGAAAGAAAGCCATAAGAAGTCCCGTTTGCAATTTGCGAGAAGCCATGTGGAGGACACAGCAAACATGGAAAAAGATGAGACCAAAATTGAACTTTTTGGCCTAAAAGCAAAATGCAATGTATGGCGGAAAACTAACACTGCACATTACCCTGAAACATGGTGGTGGCAGCATCATGTTCTGGGGATGCTTTTCTTCAGCAGGGACAGGGAAGCTGGTCAGAGTTCATGGGAAGATGGACGGAGCCAAATACAGGGCAATCTTAGAAGAAAACCTGTTAGAGTCTGCAAAAGACTGGGGTGGAGGTTCACCTTCTAACAGGACAAAGACCCTAACATACAGCCAGAGCTACAATGGAATGGTTTAGGTCAAAGCATATTCATGTGTTAGAATGGCCCAGTCAAAGTCCAGACCTAAATCCAATTGAGAATATGTGTCAAGACTTAAAAATTGCTGTTCACATCCAATCTGAAAGAGCTTGAGCTATTTTCCAAAGAATAATAGGAACAAATGTCACTATCTAGATGTGCAAAGCTGGTAGAGACATCCCCAAAAAGACTTGAAGCTGTAATTGCAGAGAAAGGTGGTTCTACAAAGTACTGACCCAGGGGGGATGAATATAAATGCACGCCAATTTTTTATTTGTAAAAAATTTTGAAAACCATTTATCATTTTCTTTCCAATTCACAATTATGTGCCACTTTGTGTTGGTCTATCACATAAAATCTAAACCCCTATTCAATCAGCGCAACACACCCTAAAATTGTATGATAGTGCTCTAAATAGTTGCTGCTAAAACACTGTTAGTGACTTCACAATGCCTGTAATAAAATGAATAAAGTGTAGCACAACAGACTAATATCTCAAATAAAAATAAATAATAAACCATAATTAAAGTCCCATGAAAAAGTCTCTGAACAGCACTGCGCAATGTGTATAAGATAAATCTTCTCTCTTCTTCATTGCCAACGGTGCCACCACCATTATGTGAAAAACCTGCTCACCTCAATTTATGACCTCATCAATAGGTCATTATGCGCTCAATATGTGGACCCAGATGTTCATCAGTTGGCCTACTGAGCAAGCCCGAATCTGGGGCGTAGCGCATATAGGTGGAAGGAGCTGAGCCTAAGATGTTTTGTACTGATGACCATCTGGGAGAGCGAGGTAGTGGGCCATGTGATGAAAATAAAATTTCAAGGAAGTATGAATACTTTTTCAAGGCACTGTATACGGTGTAATACAAGTGCAGTTGCTCCGGAGCTTAGTAAATAAGGTAAAGATTCAGTTTGCAAAGAACACCCAATCACATGCAAGGAAAATAAAAAAAACAATATTTTGGCATGCACATGAATGGATGATAGAAATTAGCAGAGCATCCCCTCAGATCTAGGGCAACTGCACTTTGAGTGCACAGACTACTTGTCTTTAGTAAATCCCTCCCCACCCCCTGCAATCTGTGAAGTGGAGAGATGATGTTGTGAAGAAGAGCTTATTGTCAACATGAGTAGTATAAACCTCAGTAAATCTGTGTGCCTTTCAGCAATAGTCATGGGTACATACAACAAAAACACCTTGTCCATATATGTATTACCTTTAGCGGGTATGTGCATATACTAACACATCAAGGACACCATACCAATGCACAGAACCCGTTTGCTTATGGGATACTATGATAAAATGCGCTCTCATTTTGGGGTTCTAGACTGTGGTGTGATTACTAAGAGTAGAGGGTGCTCACTTTGCAAAGTGAATGCTTACCTAGAAAAGTGAATATTGGCGAATACGGTGAAGTTGTATTCATTTTGAATGCCCAAAGGTGTGCATGAAAATTTAAAAAAACGTTTTTTTCTTCACGCACATGACTGGGTATTTAAAGTGAAACGGCTTATTCACTAACATTTACCCTCCTAAGTGAACAGCCTCTACTCCTGCAGTAAATCAACTGCATTGTGGGTGTTAAAGTTGTTGTAAAGGCTGAAGGTTTTTTTTTCATCTTCATGCCTTCTTTCAGTTCACCATCAGGCTAGGCCTGATATATATTAGTCCCGGCTGGGGTGCACACACAAGGGAGGCTCCAAAGCATGTTGCATGTAAATAGAGCCACCCTGGAACAAGAAAATACAGCCAAAATGGCACCAGCTTAAACTGGAACAAAGGCAATGATTAAGTCTTTTGCGGACTCCAACGTAAAAACTATGGCGATGGCAGCGTGCGGGGGTGGGGGGGTGGATAATGATCTTACACACACTCCCAGCAGCTGCAGCCTCCGGGAGCATGTGTATAATGGAAAAGTCAACTGCCGGCTGTCACGTGGAAGCTATCGGACGGCTTTGCAGCCACCTGATCGCTTCCACATCTCCCTAGTGCTCGCACCTGTCATGCTTTCCGACTCCGTGCGCCCATTAGTATGCTTCGGACTGGCATGATGGGAGCCGCTGAGGGAAGGGAGTCGAGTGGACATCCGTCTACTTTCACCTTTCATCCTCCCTTTCTTTTCCCTGACCTTGAAGTGTTGTTTCAAGGTCACTTCTGTCATAAAACCCTGCCAGTCAGCAAGTTTTTAAAAAGTGGGTTTATTAACACTTCAAAGTGGTATTAAACCCAAAACCAAACATATATATTGCAGCTTACCATGCTTTAGGATTTGGTGATTGCGTTATTTTTATAGTCTTTTTCCATCTGTTTTTACCTGGTGATCTGGCCAGTAACACACCTCCTGTATTAGCAAGCCCCCACTCTGGATGAATAAGCACACGAGGAATATTTGGACAGCAGTATATCGATCTGGGAACAGGGCAGTATTAGATAGACTAGCAGATTAAAGACAGCCACAATAGCGCTGGGAGGGTGAGGGAATCGGGCGATTTTTTTATCCCTCCACGCAGGGTGAAAGAAAAGAAAATGTAATCATCTATGGGCTGCTTTGGTTACACTAACAAACCGAAGCCAAAAACTCAAGCTCACACTTTATAAGCAGTTACAGCAAGCATTTGTCTTTGCCTTGGGGTTTAATACAGCTTTAACTGACACCAGAAGTGACAATATGCTTGTCACTTTCAGCTTCAATACTTGCAAAGGAGATTGGGTAAATAAAGTTTTTCAATATCTTGCCTTCACTGTTGGGCCAGTTTACAGAGGTCCAGGGCTCCCCAGAGGAATGCAAGAGCTCAGGAACCAGTGTGAGCGGTGCTAGCTCTCACTATTATAGAAGTGATTTCAAGGCTGCAAAGCCACCTGGATCACATTTGCTAAAAAGTGAATCATCAACTGAAAAAAAAATGATGGCTGCAGTCATAAGCCTTTTTTAAAACAGCCCAGGACATTTTAAAACAGTCTAAGGACAGCAAGTAGTTAAAGCATATGTCAGGGCAAAATTTTTTTTTAGAATGTTCAGTACATCTCTGCAATACATGCACATTTTCCTGTGTTTTATTCCTTTAAAGTGGTAGTAAACAGTGGAAAAAAAAAAATCACAAAAAATGGTCTGCAAAATAACAGCATGCATCTTCAGAAACCTTTTTTATTGACCACAAGGTAGTGGAAGTTGGTGTCTGAAGAGTCATATGACTGTGTGGATCAAGATTCCATTTATCACTTGGAACTGCTACTGTTACTCTTTTACTTTGGTACTGTTATTAACTGCACAGAATTTAAGTTACAATTTGAGACTGTTATTGTCATTCTTACACTTTGTGA